CGGGGTGGGGAATTCGTGGGGTTTCGATGCGACCATGGTGGTAGCGTGCTCGCTCAGGATGGACACGTAACAATACTTGCCATCAAGGGACTTGATCCCGAACTGCCCCTTCGCGGTCATTTCCAATCGATGAATCTGTACGTCCATTCTGGCCCTCGTCTTCGACCCAACGCAATTCTGGTAGAGGACCTGAGTTATCTGGTCGCGGACCTGCTTGGTACAAGTCTGTTCCATCTCCACGGCGCCTAAGTCTTCTTTCATCCATATTGCAAGCTCGTTGCTCCAATCCGTGACCAGCTTGTTCCGGACATCGTCCGGTATCTCCTTGTTTGGGTCAATGTCCTCTGGTCGAAAGAACGAGATGTATGTGTCCATCTCCGGGCTGCAGTAAGGCTTGCCGAGGTGGCTTACGCATTGGACCGTTGCCATGACCGACGGGATGCCTGAGCACATCATCATCTGCTGAGTGCCCAGGGAGATCGTCAGGCTCTGCTTGATATCGTTGAAGCGATCGAATTCGAGGATACTTGAGGGGCTGTTGTCGTTCTTGCTAGTCTTGCGGTGGATGTAGTAGAGCAGCTTCTTGTGGACCTGCGCGGCCCTCTGCTCCTCAGCAGACGCTTCCAAAGGGTCCTCGACCTCTCCCTTGAACATCTGGCCCAAATCGTGAACCACCATGCTGAGGTCGGCGACCATCTCCGAATCGTTTGCCTTCATCCGCAGACGGTTCTGGCTGACCATCAGCTTGTTGATCTGGTCGTATGTCTGCTCGATGAGCGCCGCTTGCTCCTGTATCATTTCTCGAAGTTTCTCACCACTCGCCAGTATGGCCATCCCCACCATGCCCAGCAGGGCGAACGTGATGCACATGAGTCCAGCAGCTATTCTCGTGTATGTATAGTCTGCTTGGTGTATCCCGTACACGAGAGCTTGCAGCACGAGACATTGTGCAAAGAGCGTCACGATGTCTGGCTCCTTCAAAGTGCTCAGAATCAACATCACTTTGGCACCCACTGGAAGCTCCGCGATTTCTTCCTCGTCTTCCTCTGGATCTTCATCTCCATCGTCATCGTCATCATCGTCATCATCGATGAAATGTCGGTCGTCCGCTCCTCTTCGCCTCCTGCTCCTTGCATTTCTCCTGGCCTCAATTTTTGCCTCCTCTTCCCTTGCCTTCTCCGCTTCTTCTTCGATCTCTGCGTCAGTAGGCGCCACGATCATGGTGTCCTGCTCCAAAGCCTCATCGGCACCCTCCTCTAGAAGAAGAAGCAACACCATAAACATAAACATAAACGCTGGGGGGGGGGATCAGCGCAGATCCAAGAAATCCGCGCGGAGCGTCAAAAGTTATGGCGTTTTTCCTTCTTCGATCCTCTTCTTCCAACTGCGCGTTGTAATTGGTCCTCATGGCATTAAGCAGGTTGATGGTCTTGACAGCCAAGAGGGTCGCTGCGCACACATTGTTGCCGGGCTGCCCACGGTCGAGGAGCCACTCCTGACTTGACAGCACCATGATGGCCATGATCAGCGTGAGGCCTTCCAGTCCCCAATTGTACTGCTCCCCGCTCTCCATGTTCTGCACAATGAGGAAATAGTTCTGATATTCTGGAAGGTCCAGGAAATAAAACTTCGTATTCAGCTTGAAAGAGCGCACAAACGTCATCAATAACGGCGTGTGCTTCAAATCGAATTGAATCTTAACGTGCGACTGACTGCCGTCCGGCTTGACAATCTGATAGCGCTTCACACCTACACTTGTTCGCTCCAAATTCCAATGCGGCGAAGTATAATAGCCTTCCAACGGTACAAGATCGTATTTCGACGTTACCGCCGTCAACTCCTCGTCGCCGTACCGCTTGTAGAACAATTTTTCGTCGTACATCACCTTGATCTCGTCTTCCGCAGGGGCGTCGACCTTGGCCCACCACGGCTCGGCCTCGTCCTCTGCGAACGTATCCTCGATCTTCATGATCGTAAAATTGATCCATTCGTGGGGGGTTGTACGTATCATGTCTGCTTCTGCCGTTGTATTCCGTCGGTCTCCTACGAGTTCCAAGTGCACGTCACGATATTTCATCTTGACCATCTCCTCAAGGGTCCGCTGTCTGGCGAAGGCGGGGTGGTGACTCGACATCCAGCAAAGCTTCAACTTCATGTCCATGCATACAAGGAGCTTGGAGTACACCCACTTGCGAATCTCGATTTTCTGCTCCGCTGATACCATATCTGGGCATTGGTCTTTGACATAAGCCAGATAACTCTTCCGCGCCCTGAGAAAGAATCGAGCACCCATGAGCTCGGCCGGCTTGATGCTGATCATTGGCTTGCCCCCGATGTGGAGAAGATGCATCTCTGCCTCGTCGATGTCATCTATGTTCCACGGGTGCGTCCAGTGGTCGCTCTGGATCCACTGCCACTTGTCTGCGTAGCGCGAGCGAGACGCGAAGTCTTGTTCTTTTTGTTCAGCTTCCCAGCTTAACCAGCCAGAGTCTGGCTCCTTCTCCCACACGAGCGTCCCCCGTCCTTTGGGCTTCCCCCACCAATGTCTGCCCGCCCCTTTGTAGACCAGCCGCTCGCCGAGGGCGTTCTCGATGTACTTCTGGTTATTGCCTCCAAACTCCTCCAAGTCTGGGTGGTGACCGGACGTATTATCTCCATCAACATCCGTCCAGTCTTCTTTTGTGTAATCCTCCTCGGTCGGCAGCCACCACTCCCCCTCGTCTCTTAACGGCTCCCTGGGCTTCAAGTAACCGTTCTGGAGGCCGATGCTCAGTATGTTGTATTTCAGCATGGCCATCTCCTCATTCTGGAGCTCCTCGGTGTACTGCAGAAGCGCAAAGGTCTCCTCTGGATCCAGTCGAAATTCGTTTGGATGCCCCTTCTTGGGCTTCCACGACCTGATGAGATTGCCTATGCCGACAACAGTGTAGTGCGGGTCCTCCTCGGGGAACCAGGGCGGCGCTGCGTTCGCGTCCTTCCCCTCCGCCGTCCTCATCTCCTGCTCCACGAGATCTTGAAGCCTCTTCGCCTGCTGCTTCCACGCCTCGTTGATCTCCCTAGCCTTCTCCCTCTCCTGCTCCAGCTTCTCCTTCAGCTGTATGGCGCGCCTCGCCTTCTCACCGTCGGCGTTCGAATCGGACGCCACCTGCCCGTGCGAAGACGTCTCCTGAGAGCCTTCCGCCTCGCGCGAACGGACCCGCCGTTGCTTGTGATGACCGCCAGCAGGGCCGCCAGTTCCCTCGCTGCTGTCGGTGGCGGCGGTGCGAGCACTGGTCGGCGCGGTGCTGTCACGGGGGCTGTGCTTGTGCGAGTCGCTGCCGGCGGAGCTCGCCAAAGTGCTGGCCAGAGCGTCGGTGTTGCTGTTGCCGTTGTTGTTCTTGTTGCTCTTGGTGTTCTCCTGCCCTTCCTGCTGCCCCTCCTCCGCCTCAGCCATGAGAGGGTCTCCATCTCTGGTCAGGACAGGTATGCAACTGCGCACGTATCTGTTGAGGATCGGCGGGAAGACGCCGAGCTTCTCTTGCGCAAGAGACTTCTGCTCAACCTGCAAGTGCTGGCAATGGTTATCAGACCAACGCGGGATGCCAAACTCTTCAGACCAAACGAACTCCTTTGCCTGGATAAGCCTATGTAGTCTGTACGTGACACCCAGAAAGAATGCCACCGGGTACACTAGCAAGCCGACGACGCATGCGGCAATGACATAGGCCTGGTCAGGCTCAAACGTTTGAATGACGATTTTGTCCTTGGTAAATATGGCCTTGCAGCATGCTTGTGTGTACGAGATAAGCCACAGGGTCAACACGAATATCATTACACTTCCAGGCTCCATGACGGCCAGTCTAAGCTGGTTCCGCGCGAGAAAGAGACGGTAGAACACGTAGTAAAACATCCCTCCAAACACGAGGGTGATGGACGTCCCAAGGAACTCAGCCGCGGGACCAGAGAACGCGTCAATGACAAGAGTGCAAATCCAAAGTGGCCTGAGGATCCACATCACAAGGGTGTGCAACTCACGGTCTCGACAATACCCCGAGATATCTGGAAATGTGTCCTTCGTCACACCGTCCGCGGTGGCGTTCTTGTCCCGGGTGGCCCAGGTCATGGCGGTCCAATCCGCCACCGTGCCCGAGGCACGAAATGATGCCTCATCGTGTCCTTTGGGTTCTTCTGCATTGATCTTGTAATGGGGCCAAGGGCCCTGAATTCCGTGCGCTCCCGGGCGCTCCCAAAGTTTCTCACGTGTCTCCGAATGACATTCTTGAGGCCAGAAGGCCCCGAAACGGGAATCAGGGCCCCCAAAGGACCACAAGACAGTCCAAGAGGGCTCCGAGTCGCCCACATATTGCTTCAAGATGGCCTGAAGACGGCCCAAGAGGCCCCAGAGACGCCCCCCAAATCCTAAGAGCACCCCCAAAAGGGTCCCAAGAGGCGGCGCTCATCCATATCCCTTCTGTTGTTTGTGGGTTTTTGCGTTCTTCCCTTTTCTATCTTTCGACGCTGCAAGACGACCCAAGAGGCCCCCACGATCGCCCAAAGACAGCCCACGAGGCCCCGAAGAGGACCCAGGAGGGCCCCAAGACGGACCAAGAGGCCCCGAAGACGGCCCAAGAGGGCCCCAAGAGGGGAGCTCGAACTGGCGAACAGCCCAAGGATACCCAATAGACTCACAGAGGCCCCAAGAAGCCCTCAAGAGGCCCCCGAGAGGCCCCAAGACACCCCAAAACCGCCTCCAAGAGGCCTCGAGAGGCCTCCCAAGAGATCTCCAAAGGCATCCAAGCAGCCTCTGACCTACAACCCGAGCGCGGTGGCGGGATGAACCGAAGGCCACTAGATACCACGGGCTGTCGTACCAATTGTCTTCCTCTTCCTCTTCGTCGAGATCCTCCTCGATGCTCAAGCGGCGGGCGACATCAATTTCGCTCAGGCTACGACAAGGAGCGTCTGTCCCCTCGTGAAGGGTGCTGGCGATGTCGTACCCGTCTTCCCACGGCACCCTGTAAAGGCACTTGCAGTGTATCTGCTTCCATTCATCCGTCGGCAACCCTCCAGTCTTGTTATCATTGGGGATGCTTTTCAAAAAATCATTGGTGGCCCCGTGATAGCACAGAAAGGCGTTGGCGCCATAGAGGCCGTGCATCTCATACATGAAACAATACTCGGTTGCCATGCCCACGAAGTCAACCTCGAGACCGGCAAACGACATGTTCGCTGTCATCTCCTCGTACTTCTGCGAGAACCAGCCCACCCCGTTGAGCTGCAGGACGTCCATCAGGAAGGTCAGGTCGCCGGTCATCGCCTTGAGGCTCTGAGTGAACTCCACAAACTGCTCGGGCACGTTGTGGACCATGATCGTCAGCGACATGAACTGGATCTGCTTCGTGATCGCCATCATGGTGGCGGCGTTGCCGATCGCGGAGAGCAGGACGCACCCGGCGGTGGTCTGCGACAGCCGGCGGGAGAACGTGGCCGTCATGTACCAGGGCGCATCCACGCCGTAGGTCACCAGGTACGATGCGGAGTGGAGCCGGTCCGCGGCCAGGACCTCGATCTCCGTGGTGTGCTCTTCGCCGTAGACCAATGGTATCCGCCACTCCCGCTCGCTCTCCCACGACGCGGGGTTGCTCTTGAGGACGGCCCGCATGTCCATGAACAGGGTGTCTTGCAAGCGGATGTATGCAATGTCGGGCATGATGATGCCGCAACTCGGGCAATTCAAATCGTCCTTGAATGGCACTATGGAGATGTTGTTGGAGCACTCCGACCAGCTCTTGTGCGCACAGATGTCCCAAGCCCACCTGCACGTGTACTCAAACACTGTGGGGTCGAACTTGGGGGTCAGCTCGCAGGGCGTGTCATGGGCCACCCTGATGTCCTTTGGGACGCACAGAGACATACTAATACTATCTGTCCTCCCTGGAGGCACGAATCCGACCCGTAGATTTATCGTTTTCCGAGCGGCGTGGCCAGAAAGCGCCCGCCACGACGCATATACTATAAGATTTCACGGTGCGCGCGTCTCCCCTGGGGGGGGGGGCGACGCACATGTAGTATCAGTATGTTGGGGCGACTGAAGGGGCCCTGGGACACACAAATAAATACATACAAATAAAACGATTCCCCATATTTTCCCATATTTTCTTGGGAATCGCCGATTAATTGTGTCTGTGTGCTTTTTACCCTGCTGAAGTATGTTGGGGTGACGCCGATCCTTCAGCACCGCCGTCGTGCTCACCAGCTGCGTCACCACCACGTCGTACTTCTCCTGCGTGTACCCGTCCGCCGAGACCACGGTCACCGTCAGCGTGTGGAACCACTTTGGGAGCCTGCGGTCTCCGAACTTCTTGCCGGACGTGACCTCGGCAGGGCACGAGCCAACCAATGTTTTCCGTTGTCGTGTTTTGCAGTGGTTCTCGCAGATTGAGCCAGTGGCGTCGTGTACTCTCTATGCCAGAGCAGTCGCGCATACCCCTAACCAGGCATTGAGGGGATGGAGGGATGCGTAGATCATGGCAGCCACAGCTACAGGGAAGGTGTGATTCGCCAAACCTTCGATCACTGAGCCAGGTGCCCCCCCAAAAAAGATCGGACCCCACAGGCCAAGATTGTTCGTTCTCGTTCTGCTATGCTTTTCCTTCGCTCTGTCATCTTTCCGCCTTAGCTGCGAAACGGTATCAAATCGAAAACGGTCCACGAAATTGCCCAAACACCGCTTTGCCCGCGCCGGGTGGCCTCGTTGTCCGTCATGTTGAACAGAACTGTACCAGAGCCGCGCACGCACGTCGCGTCCGTACTGGTGCCTTGCGTATCGCAATACCGAGCTGCTGGATTTGTATCTTTGTCGAAGGACAAGAGAATGCCGCGCGACTCGTCCTCGACGCTCACGCCAGCCTGGTCGTCGTTGCTCTCGACGTAAAGTTGCAGCGGCTCCGTTACACCCAATCTCTCGGCAACGTTCAAACCCACATCTGGCAGAGTGAACTCGTGCTTCTTCAAGTCTGCATTGTACTTCTTCTTCGTGATCTGTGACGCGAGCTTCTCGCGTGACTTGCCCGGCGCGCGCACTTCGACCGTCTTCAGGGTGGCCGGATCCGCCACGGTGCTTGCACGATGTGAAGTGCTAGAATGCTCTGAATTGTCTGGTAGGCTCGTTGCAGCCACCGTCCTCACCCTCCCTTGGTTTGAATACCCCTCGGCCTTTCTGTCGGCGGCGAGCCCAGGGGGGAAGTGAGAAGGAGAAAGCCTTCTCAGAAGGCTCGGAAGTCCCCCCGGCCATCTGAGAAGTTTTCCAAGACTTCCCCGAAGACAGAACAACCTCTCAAAGGCGCGAGGGCTTCTGAGAAGTCCCGCCGCCTTCTGAGACGGCCTTCTCCTTCTCGCTTCCCCCCCTCGCTCGCCGCCGAACTGTGCCGCCGCAGCAATGAAGCAGGAAGAAGGTCGAGCTCAAGTCCCGCTCCAGTTCAGCTCCCTGCCTGAACCGGTGCGGGTCTTGCACATCTTCCCCCTTGTCCGCAGCTTCGCTATCCTCCTCCTCCTCCTCCTCCTCCTCCTCCTCCTTCCCTTCTTATGTGTACTGTCTTCACTGTGGGGGATCAGCCTCCGCTAGACAATCGCCGATTCTTTCCGAAGACTGCAAGGGCCCAATTGATTGGTTCATCGGTCGTCTCCGTACCACCGGTTCGAGATCTCTCGAAGCGGGTCCTCCCCCGCGGACGGGGGCCCCCCTGAGCGGGCGCTCCTCGCGCGGCTCTGGGCGAGCCGCGCGAGAGACACCGAGGAGGCCCTTACAACGAGAGGCCCAGAGAGCCCCCCCAAAGCAGTGGACACCAAAGGGGGGGCACACCTTTTTCCCAACCCTCCTTGGTTGGGTATTCGTTCGTTTTTAATAGAGCACTGCGGTCGCGCCTTTCCTCCCGCCTCCTCCCTCCTCCTCCCGCTTCCCTCTCGTCTCCTCTTGCCTTGTGCGGACCTCGCCATCCCTGGGGGGCTGCGATCAGCGAAACCGTCGCCACTTTCGAGGGCTGCTGGGGAAGCCAACAGAGTGGGCACTCATCGCAGATCATAATTAGACCTCGCCATCCCTGGGGGGCTGCGATCTGAGAAAAATTGTCGCCACTTTCGAGGGCTGCTAGGGAGGCCAGCAGAGTGGGTGCTCACCGCGGATCAGAATTAGACCTCGCCATCCCTGGGGGGCTGCGATCTGCGAAACTGTCGTTATTTTCGAGGGCTGCTGGGGAGGCCAACAGAGTGGGCACTCATCGCAGATCATAATTCGACCTCGCCATCCCTGGGGGGCTGCGATCTGCGAAACTGTCGTTATTTTCGAGGGCTTCTGGGGAGGCCAACAGAGTGGGCACTCCTCGCAGATCATAATTCGACCTCGCCATCCCTGGGGTGGCTGCGATCTGCGAGACTGTCGCCACTTTCGAGGGCTGCTGGGGAGGCCAGCAGAGTGGGTGCCCACCGCGGATCAGAACTAGACCTTGCCATCCCTGGGCAGTGGGGCTGCGATCTGCGAAACTGTCGTTATTTTCGAGGGCTGCTGGGGAGGCCAGCAGAGTGGGCACTCATCGCAGATCAAAATTAGACCTCGCCATCCCTGGGGGGCTGCGATCTGAGAAACATTGTCGCCACCTTCGAGGGCTGCTAGGAAGGCCAGCTGAGTGGGTACTCGCCGCGGATCCAACGTAGACCTCGCCATCCCTGGGGGGGCTGCGATCTGCGAAAAATTGTCGCCACTTTCGAGGGCCGCTGGGGAGGCAAACAGAGAGGGTACCCACCGCGGATCAGAATTAGACCTCGCCATCCCTGGGGGGCTGCGATCTGCGAAACTGTCGCCAGTTTCGAGGGTTGCTGGGGGGCAGCAGAGTGGGAACTCACAACGGATCAGAATTAGACATCGCCATCCCTGGGGGGCTGCGATCTGAGAAACATTGTCGCCACCTTCGAGGGCTGCTAGGGAGGCCAGCTGAGTGGGTACTCACCGCGGATCCAACGTAGACCTCGCCATCCCTTGGGGGTTGCGATCTGCGAAACTGTCGCCACTTTCGAGGGCCGCTGGGGAGGCCAACAGAGAGGGTACCCACCGCGGATCAGAATTTGACCTCGCCATCCCTGGGGTGGCTGCGATCTGCGAAACTGCCGCCACTTTCGAGGGCTGTTGGGGAGGCCAGCATCACGGGTACTTGCCGCAGACTCAAATTAGACCTCGCCGTGCCTGGGGGGCTACCCTTTCCCCAACGGCGCAGGAGTTCAACTTGTTAATGCTTTTCACCAAGCCCTTATCCCTTGATCGGGGACCCGCGAGCCTCCCGAATGCCGTTTGCAGAAGTATATCCTTCCATGCCACGTCATCACCCCGTATAAAGTCTCCCAAGCTACTCATACCCCGCATTGCGCAGGGGTTGGGTATGTCGCCAGGGTAATTTGTCTTAGCTTTCCAGCATTCCCTGTCGCAGACAGCCTCGGGAAAGCTTTGAGGAAAGCATCAACAGAGCTCTTGCGAGACGGTCCAAGACACTGAGAGGCAACGATAAAGGGGGATTGGCATAGGGGGGGATGCATCGACCTGGAATCGGCGATATGTCGCCGATACATCTGCGATAGGCCTCCGATGGTGAATCCGCACCTTCCTGGGCAGGTTGGGGCTAGCGGGCCCTTATCGGCGATCAGTGGGCGATGGGGGGTCGATGCATCCCCCGTCTATGCTCATCCCCCCCGATTGTTGTCCATGAGACAGTCCGAGGAAGACTCCCAAACTGCACGATGTCCAAGATGGCTTAACTGGGCCTCTTCGGGAGAGCTCGGTGGAACCATCGTGCCCGAGACGGCCCCGAGACGGCCCCGTGACCCACATTAGCCACCCAAGGAACTCTCAAGATACCCTCAAGAGGGAGGAGGAGGAGGAGGCGGAGGAGGAGGAGGAGGAGGCGGAGGAGGAGCAGGAGGAGGGGAAAGAAGACGGAGGAGGAGGACAGCGAGGCCGCGGACGAGACGACCCACTGATCCATCCAACCGCCCAATACATCTTCAAGACGGAGGACCCAAGATCCAGACGACTGCGAGGGAAAGCCAAGCTGACCGGGGAGCCACGAGAACAATGGCGTGGCTCACTCTCCTCCTCCTCCTCCTCCTCCTCCTCCTCCTCCTCCTCCACCTCCACCTCACCTCCCTCCTCCTCCTGCTCCTCCTGCTCCTCCTCCTCCTCCTCTTCCCCCTTGCTCCTCCTCCTCCTCCTCCTCCTCCTCCTCCTCCTCCTCCTCCCTCCTCGTCCCCCATCCTCAATCATTCTCCCTCCTCTTCCTCCTCTTCCTCCTCCTCCTCCTCTTCCTCCTCCTCCTTCTCCTCCTCCCTCCTCGTCCCTCTTCCTCCTCCTCCTCCTCCTCCCTCCTCGTCCCCCATCCTCAAACATTCTCCCTCCTCCTTCCTCCTCCGACGCTTCTTCTTACCACTCCCTTCTGTGCTCCCTCCCGGAGCCGCGCGAGAGACGCCCGCTTATGGGGGGACTCCCGTCCGCGGGGGGAAGACCCGCCTCAAGAGCTCTTAAGCGCCAGTGGTGCGGGGACGACCGCTGGACCGATCGATTGGGCCCTGCCAGTCTTCCGAGAGAAGCGGCGATTGTCCAGCGGAGGCTGATCCCCCGCAGTGGCGACAGTACACACACAAGGAGGGAAGGAGGAGGAGGAGGAGGAGGAGGAGGAGGAGGAGGAGGAGGAGGAGGAGGAGGAGGAGGAGGATAGCGAATCTGCGGACAAGGGGGGGAGGTGTTCAAGACCCGCGCCAGTTCAGGCAGGGAGCTGAACTGGAGCGGAACTTGAGCTCGACCTTCTTCCTGCTGCGCTGCTGCGGCGGCGCAGTTCGGCGGCGAGCGATGGGGGGAAGTGCGAAGGAGAAGGCCTTCTCAGAAGGCGGCGGGACTTCTCAGAAGCCCTCGCGCCTTCTGAGAAAATGCTCTGTCTTCGGGGAAGTCTTGGAAAACTTCTCAGATGGCCGGGGGGACTTCCGAGCCTTCTGAGAAGGCCTCCTCCTTCTCACTTCCCTCCCTGGGCTCGCCGCCGAACAGTGGCGGGCACTGCCGCAGGCAGCTGGATAATGACTCCTCGACTCGATCTTCAGGGTGTATCGGGAGAAGGTGTTAAACTTGTCCAGGCCGAGCAGACAGAAATCGAGCCTGTACTGGCCCACGGCCATCACGTTCTCGGCCGACACGAGCTGCGACTTCCTTCCGTCCTCGTTGGGCCAATTCGCCCTCGGGCAGTCCAAGCTGTTCTCGTCCACTGGCACGCAGCAAGTGCTGAACTGGTCCTTCATCTCGGCCCCAACCATCGGCGTCTGGTGCTCCTCCCTGGCGACCGCGTGCACGTAGAACTCGCTTCCGAGCACCACGACCGTGGAGTAAACGGTGCGATGCCACTGGAAGTCTGGGCTAAGGAGCAGTTCTCCGACGCTTTCTCCGAGGGCCTCGTCCCTTTTTGTGCCATTCTTGGGACTGATGACCATGGACGACAAGTGAGAAACGTCGCTGCCCCAGCGGAATATGTCGAACGTGTACATCCTTGGCATGCCGAGCGGGTCGGTGGTGTCTACCTGGAGAATGAATGGATCTCGAGCCCAAGAGACATCCACGTCTACCGACACTGTCCCATTCTGAGCCTCATCAGCCATGGCGACCTCGGGGCTGTGGAGCACCATGAGGTCGCCTTCCAACTCTAGCCTCACGTCCCGAACAGAAGACACGCACTCGAAGTAGTAGGTATCAGACATCTCCGTGAACGCCTGGCTTCCATTGCATGGCTTGTCGACGTGCCACTGACCTGGCTCTTGCAGGATCGCGTAAGCTGCCTCTCGGCGGCGAGCGAGGGGGGGAAGCGAGAAGGGGCAAGCCGTCTCACAAGGCTCGGAAATCTCTTGGCCACCCGAGAACTCTTCGAAGCCTTTCTCGAAGACGCAAGACACTTCTCAGAAGACCCGAGGTCTCTGAGAAGCCCCGCCGCCTTCTAAGAAGGCCTTCTTCTTCTCACTTCCTCGGGGATCTTCAGACCCTTGTCAATCCAGACCCGGGTCAGTCAGGCCCTGCAGAATCCTGCAAAATCCTGCACCCAAACCTGGGTCAATGCGAAGGATCCTGCAAAATCCCGCAGGACCCTGCACCCCAAACCCGGGTCGATGCGACCCTGTCCCTGCAGGATCCTGCAAGATCCGGCGCTCTGGGGCTGACCCCCGTTTGCATTGGCCCCCGTCTCAGGGCTCCCGACTTCACCCCTCGTTCGAGGATGGACAGACCTCCCTTTAGCAAAACGTGGTTTAGTGAAAACGACCTGAGGCCCAAACCTGGCGGGCGCAAGCCTGGAAAATAACGGCCACGGCGCCCTCTCGAGAACCGAAAACGGACAATTCTCTAATCGACGTGTCACTGTTGGGGGTTCTGTCCACCCCCGACTCGTCTCGCCGCCGGGCCTCCGCCAGCAAGTTGTACGAGCCGCTGACCGCCGCCCTCCGGAGCCGGCCCGTGGCGCTCACCACCGCCCGCGCGGCCAGCAGCGCCGCCAGCGCCCTCCCCCGCATCGCACCGGCGGTCGAGGGCGAGGCCCGCCTCCTCTGAGAGGGGGCGAGACACGGCAGGGACAGAAAGCTTTGTGGCGCTCCGCGCGGATGTCTCGGATCTGCGCTTGGGCCCCCCTCCCTGGCGCGCGGAGCGCGCCAGGGGCGGCGCCGGAGGCGCCGCCACGGGCGGGGGGGCCCCGGCGCGGAGCCAAGACATCCGCGCGGAGCGCCAGATGTCTATCTGGCCATCGCTCGGACGTCCATTCCCTGTGTTTTTTTCGGCCTCGTGCGCTTTTTTTTTTCCGCCAAGAGATCAAGGATGCTCCTCGATGGTCCTCGCCGAAGGAAAAATGCACACGTCCGAGCGATGCCAAGCTATGTGTGTAGCGTCATTTCTTCTCGGGCCTGAGTGTGCTTCTGGCAGCGGGAGCGTGGTCGTCGCTGCTTGGCGGCACGCAGAAGAAGCCAGGGTGGGATGCGGGCCTCGCCATGGCTCGGACGTCCGTTCTCCGTGCATGTGTTTCGGTTTTGTGCGTGCCTTTTTCTGTAAGGTGCGCCAATGTGCTCCTCGATTTATGAGGCAACTACTGGGAGGTCATCCTCGGAAAGATGAAATATAATCGAGCCCCATTGGGGGGCTACTATGCCAGATTCGGCCGCGGATTCAGCGGGATGAAGCGGAAATAAGCTGGATTAAGCCGGATTTCGGACCAGGGCAAAGTCAGAACTTGACCGCCCAGGAGTTGCATCCGAACTCGATGGCCCTTGCCGAGAAACAACGCACACGCCCGAGCGATGCCAAGTGCAAGGGTGAGCCGCGCGCCTCGCGCCCTCCCGGGAGCGGGGGGCGGAGTCCCCTCTCTCGGTGCCCGATCCTGGGCCCCTCCTCCTCCTCCTCCTCCTCCCCCTCCTCCTCCGCCTCCTCCTCCTCCTCCTCCTCCTCCTCCTCCTCCTCCTCCTCCTCCTCCTCCCCCTCCTCCTCCTCCTCCTCCTCCTCCTCCTCCTCCTCTTCCTCCTCCTCCTCCTCCTCCTCCTCCTCCTCCTCATCCTCCTCCCCTCCTCCTCCTCCTCCCCCTCCTCCTCCCCCTCCTCCTCCCCTTCCTCCTCTCCTCCTCTCCTCCTCCTCCTCCTCCTCCTCCTCCTCCTCTCCTCCTCCTCCTCCTCCTCCTCCTCCTCCTCCTCCTCCTCCTCCTCCTCCTCCTCCTCCTCTCCCTCCTCCTCCTCCTCCTCCTCCTCCTCCTCCTCCTCCTCCTCCTCTGACTTCTGCTCGCCGCCAGTGCTCAGGGCGGAGCGCAGTGACAGGGGGCCGCCAGCACCGCGGGAGGGGCAGCGATGGAGGGGGACCAGCTCGGGAGGGGAAAGCGTCGACCTGGGATCGGCTATTCCTCGCCGATAGATCAGAGATATGCTCCTTGTCGCAACTCCGCACCTTCCTGGGCGGGATAAGACCATCGGGCCCCTATCGGCCAGGAATGGGCGATGGGGGAGAATGCGCCCACGCCACCACCCACCCCCTGATCGGGGAGATGTAAGACTCGGCTTTCGGGGGACTCGAGCTGGCCTGACGGGGCCGTCAGGAAATGACGAGACCCAGTCTGAAACTTTGACGCGAGCTCCCGCTGCAAACCTCCCACGAAAACGGGACCGCTCAAATCCAGGACGGGCTCGACAAAGAGCGCAAGCAGACCCGAGTTCTGGCGAATTCGAGTCTTCCGTTTCTTGGCGGCACGCATGGGGGGGGTATGATGGAGGGGGAAAAGGCTTCTTGCAAGGAGTCCGCCTCTTAGAAGGCGCCAGCCCTGCATCCAGAGAAAAAGACAAGCCCGCGCATCCTCGGAAGCCTCCCCCCCTCCTCCTCCTGCCCCCCCTCCTCCTGCCCCCCTCCTCCTCCTCCTCCTCCTCCTCCTCCTCCTCCTCCTCCTCCTCCTCCTCCTCCTCCCTCCTCCTCCTCCTCCTCCTGCCCCCTCTGCGCGCGAGCCCCCCCCCCCCCGACCTGGCCCCCCCCCCGCCGCAGGCCGCCCCTGGCGGCAGCGTCGGGCCCAGGCCGCCCAGCGAGACGGGCAGGCCGCCGGCCCGAGCGGGGCCCCCGGGCGCGCCACGGCCGGCGCGCCACGGCGGGCGGTCGCCGCCCGCCCGCCCGCCGCGGCGCAGCGGGCGCTGCGCCCGCGCCCCAGATGGCACGGCGCGGCGCCCGGGAACGTTGCCCCGTCGCGCCGGACCTCGAGCCCAGAGGCGGTGGGCCCCCGCCTGCTCCGAGAGTCCTGCCCTCGGCCCTCGGGGGATCGGGGGGGGGGTGGCCCCCCAGAGGCCTCGAGGGCTCACGATGTGGGGCGGATCCAGAGCTCACGACTTCCCCCTCCTCCTCCTCCTCCGCCTCCTCCTCCTCCTCCATTCCTGTGGTGGACGGCCTGAAACTCATGCTGAGGGCTCGCTTCGGGTGGTTGCGCGCCAATTGGTTCAGGCGGCCTCTATCGTCTCGACTCAGAAGGAGCTTGACCTCCCGCTGAACCTGACTAAGACGTGCTTCCTCTGCTCGAACCCCGAATTGCTTGAAGACTTGCTGGACGACCCTGGCTGACCATTCGATGAGTCCTTCCTGGCCAGCACTCACCGTGATGATCTGGGCGGCGACGCTTCTGATGGCAAAGCTCGCCGCGTGCTTCTGCAAAACCAGCGCCTCCAAGCTTCGGCGGCCGCGGTCGGTCTGCTCTCTAAGGTCGGGAGGGGGAGGGAGGCGTCTCGGGTTAGGATGTCGGGGCCCGTAGCCAAGGCCACTTGGTGAGCGCACATGAATGGTCTTGGGAACTCAGCCTGTAGAACCTTGCGAGCAGCCTTTGCTAGATCCTTTGGCCCCCTCTAGCATGGATCCTCCCTTGGCCTCGCTTTCCTCCTCTGTGTTGCCCCATCACTCAGAGAAAACCATTTCGTGACCACGACAGTGGATGCCGTCAAGTCGCTTGTTTCGGTTTGATGGCACCGCAATGCCACGAAGCATGTGCTCCTCTCGGTCTATGAAGATGCGCTCCTGTCCGCCAGCGAAATCAATCCTTGGGGCTCCGCTGAGAAACCTGTCGCTGCTCTGATGCTCACGCTGGCTCGCGTTGGGTGGAAACTCGACGTTCCCAATGAGCTGCTCATCGACCAGATGTGTAACGCTCTGGAGCTTAGCTGTGTTTGCCCCGCCTTCCTTGCCCTTCAAGTGCGCGAAGCGTGCGAAGAGGTAATCGTTTCTGAAGAGCAGGTTCGGCCGAGCGACTTTGGTGCCGAGTGGCGTGGCCCCGCGTGCCTCAAGCCCGCTTTGGATTTGATTTCGAAGCAGCAGAGCGCGGTCTGGACCGATCATTGTAGACACTGCTTGCGGAGTCTCATCGCAAACCTATCCTGGTGCTGCCAGCATTTCCATGATGCCTGCCAGGATATATATGCCGCCTGTCTTGCTTGCCAGGCGCCCCCAGAAACCATGTCTCATCGTTGGTTTGATTGCCCCGCTCACGAGTCCTGGCGACGAGATGTCCTGAGCCCTAACCTGGTGAGGGCGGCGGAAAGGGTTCGGCTTCTCTCACGTGTTTTTCCACGTTTCGACATTGGGCGGATGGGTGGGGGGGAGAGGGGCGGAATCTGGCTCTGGACCTCTGCTTAGTGCGACTGTTTGCAACAGTGCGTCCTATAGGGGAGACCTCGCCTTCTCGAAACAGGCGCCAAAAGTAGCCAAGATCTACTCCATGGGTGGGGGGTGGGGGGAGGGGGGGTGCGAGGGTCCGCGCCGATCGTTAAAACAATGAAGAAGACAACGATCACCACCTATGGCAAACGAACTGCTTGCCAAAGGGGTCCTCCCCGACCCCACCGGGTGGCTTTCTGTCGGCCCATCCTGAGATCCTACGTCGCCAAGACTTTGCAACCTCGTGCAAAATCACGCCCGGAGTCCTAGACCTTGACTTCGGGCGCCATTTTTCGAACCAGATCGAGCTGTGAGGGTCCCGGGGCCCGACATGGAGCGAGAATGCCCGTGGCGAAAACATGGCAACGCCAAGACATCAGGGCACCAAGCCGCCCTGCTGACACGACGCTTCTCGGCACGCCTGGCCGGCCGAGGGGCGCGGTGCTCGGGTTACGTCGGGCATGTCCCTGTACAGGAGGAATATGCAAACATAGAATCAAGGAAATAATCAGGGGACGATTCTTCGAGTATTTTTGAACGTGTTTGGGGTATTTTTGAACTATCTTTTAATCTGTCGCGCAACATCCGCCTGTAGGGGGACATGCCCGACCTAATGCTCGGGGAACGGGGATCCCCTTTTCTCGCGAGGCGTCCCGCTGCGAGCCTACTCTTGCCCCAGGAGATCAGGGCGGCGGGCATGGGCGGCGATCGCGACGGACGGGTGGGCGATTGTTGATCGAGCGATTCGGTGGGGGCATTGGATAAGGAACCTGTAGATAAGGAGTCCAGGGCCTGGAGAACGGTGAAACTCCAATCGAAGCTTGGCCGTGGATATCACCGCCGCCCTCATCAGATAAGGAATCCTCCAGGGTCTGCAGCCTCCTGGGCGCATTCCTGAACCAACGCCCCCACCGTATTTCTTTTGACGTCAGTAGAAAAAGAAACAGCGCCATAAACATAAACTTAAGGCGCTCCGCGCGGATTCCGTGGATCTGCGCTGGACCCCCCTCCCCCTGGCGCGCGGAGCGCGCTACGTGCGGCGCCGGAGGCGCCGCCGGGGAGGGCCCAGCGCGGATCCAAGAAATCCGCCCGGAGTGCCAGAAGTTTATGTTTATAGCGCTTTTCTTCCTCGAGTTAGACAGGAGCTACATGCCTCGGAACAAATTAGCGAACACTCATGCCACATTCATCCGTCAACGCCTCCCCCTCTCCCCGATGTTCAAAGTTTCTGGTGGGCCTGATGAGATGCACTTCGACCGCAGGCTCCCCCGCGCGTGCCAACATTGAGTTTGGGGGGGAGGGGGAGTGTTCAGTAATTGCTTCCCTCTACCGTAGCAGGGGCTGCGTGCGTTGGAGCCGAGCTGGCATCGGCAGCGCCCCTGGGGGAGCCAGCGGGCCGGCAGCTGGCTGACAGAGCGCCCGCGGCGCAGGTGGCGACCTTCTGCGACACCGCCAGCCTGGCGCTGCTGATGGAGCTGGCGGTGCAGGTGCGCTATTCAGCCATTGCGATGGCCATGGAGGTGCAGCTCTTCCTGGCCCCCAGGCTGCTCAAGGACCGCCACCACGGGCTTAGCTTCGAGCTGCACCCGACGCGCTCGGTGGTTGCGGGCTCGGCTCGGGGCGCGAGCCTAGCCAAGGTCTACATGCACCAGGCGCTGCAGATGGCCCACGAGGTGGCGCCCAAGTGAGCGCTGTGGACCTTCGTGGACGACACCACTGCGAGGATTGAGGGCTCCAGGCGATCGGACGTCGAGGGCCTCAAGAGCGTGAGCCAGGTCTGCGACCAGGGCTTCGTCGTCTAGAGGGGCCTCAAGATCTCGAAGAACACCACAATCCTGGCCTCGGACGCCGAGCTGGCGGAGGAGCTGAGGAAGGTGCTGACCACGCAAAGCATGCCGGTCACGAAGGCGACCCAAGCAAGCACGCAGAGGGCGTGCAAGAAGAGCGCGGCGAGGTTCCGTGCTGGCCTCTTGCGCACGTTGAAGATCAGGAGGGTGCGCCAGCGGGCTGCCCTCGCCCTGAGGTCAAGGGCCTCTGGACCAGACCCTGCCCCAGGCGGCGTACGGGGCCCAGGTCATGGGGCTGGGAGGAGGAGGAGAAGGAGGAGGAGGAGGGGGAGGAGGAGGAGGAGGAGGAGGAGGAGGGGGAGGAGGAGGAGGAGGAGGAGGAGAGGAGGGGAGGAGGAGGAGGAGGAGGAGGAGGAGGAGGAGGAGGAGGAGGAGGAGGAGGAGGAGGAGGAGGAGGAGGAGGAGGAGGAGGAGGAGGAGGAGGAGGAGGAGGAGGAGGAGGAGGAGGAGGAGGAGGAGGAGGAACAGAAGTCGGCAGGCCCCGCGGAAGCAGGGGAGCTGGTGCGGCGGAGCTCGAAGGGGCCCCCCTCCGCACGCAGAGCTAATTGGATGCGGAGAGGCGGGCCTCCCGCGGAGAGGCCGCTGCCTCGCTGCAGGGCGGTGCTGCGGCTGATGGGGGGGCGGGGCTCGGGTCTCTTGCCGTCGCTCGGACGTCCGTTTCCCGTGCATTTTTCGATTTCGTGCGCGTTTTTGTTTTGCTCGATGGTCCAGGATGGCCCTCGATGATTCTCGCCGAGAAAAGCATGCACACGTCCGAGCGATGCCAAGGTCTGAGTTGGCGTGGGAGAGGGGTGCCGTGCACGAAGGCGGCGCGCGGCGATCACGGGATGCCGCCGCGGCCCTGGCGAGGCGCCGCGCGCGCCTGTATCCCTCCAGCTGCCCCTCGAAGCCGGCGCCGAGCGAGCCAAGAGGGTCGAGCGTGCTGCCAAGCCGCCCGGACTGACGGCGAGGCGGGAGGCCATCTCCAGCTCCGCGCACACACTGAGGGTGGTCGGTCCGAAGTGGCAGTGTAGTGTGTGTGTGTGTGTGTGTGTGCCTCCAGCTCGCCCATCCCACCTCCCTCCTCGAGTTCTGTGCCTCCCAGTGTGTGCCTCCCCCTGTGCCCGCGGTGGGTGGTGGAGGCGCGGGCCCCGAGAGCGAGTGTGCAGAAGGAGGTGCGACCTGGAGTGGCCGAGGCCGTTCACAAGTCCCATCGGATGAGTTGGTGGGGCCTCTTCTCTCTGCACTTCTGCCGCGAGCGTGGCCGTTTCGCGACAGAGGATCTCAGGCCCCTCCGCAAGCTCCGCCCTGGCAGCACGCCCAGAGGCCGAGAGAACCCGGCCAGGATTGCCGAGGGGCTCTGCCCAAGGCGGGAGGGGGGCCCCCAGAGCTGTCCGTGAGGCGCTGCGCCATGAGGCACTCGGAGCTCGGATGTCCTCGGAAGTCAGCCGGGGGCGGCTCCGCCGGGGGTGTGCGAGCACAACTTCGGCCTGCAGACCAGGCGCCATGAGGAGGAGCAGGAGATTGTCCAGAGCATGCCAAGGCCGTTCTGTGCTGCGTGGCGGGGAGGGTCCTCTCACCCGCCGCCCCGGGGAGGGGCCGGGCTCTGGGGAGCCTGCTGGTTCGGACGGTGCGATCCCGGGGAGCCCTGGCCCTGGGGCCGCCAGCAGCAGCGTTTTCGTCGGTGAGTCTCGTGTCTTTTGTCGGAGGAGGAGGAGGAGGAGGAGGAGGAGGAGGAGGAGGAGGAGGAGGAGGAGGAGGAGGAGGAGGAGGAGGAGGAGGAGGAGGAGGAGGAGGAGGAGGAGGAGGAGGAGAGGAGGAGGAGGAGGAGGAGGAGGAGGGGAGCGGAGGAGGAGGAATAGGAGGAGGAGGAGGAGGAGGAGGAGGAGGAGGAGGAGGAGGAGGAGGAGGAGGAGGAGGAGGAGGAGGAGGAGGAGGGAGGAGGAGAGGAGGAGGAGGAGGAGGAGGAGGAGGAGGAGGAGGAGAGGCGCCGGCCGAGCGGCTCCTGGGGGGGATCGCCCCAGCAGCCTTAGAATCCCCCAGCAGCGTCGGAAATTGGCGTCAGCTCTCGTTCGGGGCTTCTCAGGGTGAGCTCGCGGTGGAACCGCTCTTTTAGAATCCTCCGCTAGGATCCTCCTCCTCCTCCTCCTCCTCCTCCTCCTCCTTTAGAATCCTCCGCTCGGATCCTCCTCCTCCTCCTTCCTCCTCCTCCTCCTCCTCCTCCTCCCCCTCCTCCTGATAAGCTCAATCGGCTTGAGTATCTCGGAAGCAAGGCTGCTGATTTTAATACCAAACGGGGCGCCGCCCCAGGCAGGATCGGCGTGGCCGATCCAGCTGTTGCTGATGGATGCTTCGAGCTGGCTTAGGTCGGGCATGCCCCCCTACAAACAGGTTTTGGAAGAAAAACGAAAGACGTTCACACGTAATCCACAAGTGTCAAACATAGTCGGAAAATCGTCCCCAGACTATTTTTGGACTATTCTTGAAAATTCCTGCTGTAGAGGGACATGCGCGACTTAAGGCTAGGCAGCTGTGTGAAGTTATCGAAGCGAGAATAGATGACAGTAAGCAGTTTGATCGTGTCAGCAGTGACTAGCTCAAGCACATCACTCTGGACCTTCCCCCTCCCCCTGATCCTCCACTTCCTTTGGTGGGTGGTGGGACGGGTCGGCAATATGGGGGCGGAGAGACTTGGAACTGGACCTTGACCTATGTCGTGTCCTGTAGCTGCCGTGGCGAATGGCAGCCATCATCACAACACGAAAGATCTGGCATCACACCTCTCATGGTAACTACGCCCTTTACCGCCTGAAACGCGGGAGTGGCTCTTGCTTCATGATCCTTCGCATCCTCCTCCTCCTCCTCCTCCTCCTCCTCCTCCTCCGTTTCCTCCTCCTCCTCCTCCTCCTCCTCCGTTTCCTCCTCCTCCGTTTCCTCCTCCTCCTCCTCTTTTTCTTCGTCCTCTCCTCCCTCGCTCCTCCTCCTCCTCCACTTCCTCTTCCTCGTCCCTCCCGGTCTCCTCCCGCCCAGTCGGCACGGCGATCGGCCGGCCGTGCCGCCTGCAGCGCAGGGCGGCGCCGCACCAGCGGAGCAGCGCGCCGCGCAGCGCGCCCGAGCTGCGCCGTCCTCCGGGGATCCCTGCTTCTTCCCCCCCTCCCTAGGGGAACAAAAGGTGACATGAACATAAAAACTCGGAGGTCCGCGCGGATTTCTCGGATCGGCGCCGGGGCCCCCCGGCGGCGCCTCTGGCGCCGCCCCAGGCGCGCTCCGCGCGCCAGGGAGGGGGGTCCAGCGCCGATCCGAGAAATCCGCGCGGACCTCCGAGTTTGTATGTTTATGTCACTTTGTGTTCCCCTACTCCCACCCTCCATCCTCCCTGCTCCTCGTGGGGCCCCTCATGTTCCCTCCTCCTCCTCCTGCCGCCCTCCTCCTGGACCTCCTCTCTTCCACCCCTCGCCCTCTCCTTCGTCCCCCTTGACCGCCTCCTCCGCCTCGTCCTCGTCCTCCTGATGCCTCTCCTTTCGGGAGTGGGGCATCGGGGGCTCCCAAAACGCCTTCAGGAAAGCATCATGGTTACCTTTCCTCCTCCTTCTCCTCCTCCTCCTCCTCCTCCTCGACTGGTGCCCCGAAGCATCGCCGACGACCCACCCAAACGCATCGAGCACCTTGGTCTCACGGCCGTCCCAACGGATCCGTCTGCGCCCATCCTGCCGCGAAAGGGCTGGGCAAAGATCGAGAACGGCATTGGCATCCTGCACGGCCTCTGGGCAGTTTCGTGGTGCGTACCATCCTCGCCATCGCCTGCGTTCAACCACGCTGGGCCTGGGCAGCGACGCTGCTGACCCCTGCTCCGGCGGAATACACAAGGCGTTTGTTCTGGACCATATTCAATACACTCTACAACTTGTGGTATTTCGTCCGCTTCTGGGCCCTCCAGATCAACTTGCATCCGCAATACTCGCAGGTCCTCAAGAGCCTCCACGCCGTCTTCTGTACCAAGCTTGTCTGGAGCGACTTCGTAGGCAGCGCCATTGCGGCGCTTGCCAAGTCCCTTGGCTTGAAGTTTAGCATGTACAGCGACGACACCCGCGGCGCCCACCTCGAGGTATCCCCCGTCCCCCACCGACGACCACCGCGTCCTGCATGTGATGCGACCGGCCCGCGGCGTTAACTCCCAGCGCCTCTACACCACCCAGAAGAAAGCAGCACGCGCGCTGCGCGCCGTAGCGCGCATCCGCTGCCTCCAACAAGTACGACAGACCCGGCTCGACATCGAGCAGGTGGACAACGTCGGCGTCGACGCATCATTCGATCGAGTCTTCACCAAGTGGTATTCCGCGCTGGACGACCGCGACAGGAAGCTTCTCACGATTTGCCACAACGGTGCAATGTCTACATCCACACGCCAGCAGCGCACTCACCCGTGCAAGTATAGTGCAACCACCCCCAGCCGTCTTTCGGGCACTTGTGGTTGGAACGTCCGGAGTCTCAACGCGGTCGCAGTTTTTTGGAAGGACAGCTTTCATCCCACACAACTTCTGGGCGTCACAGCTCCGAGTGGCAAAAGAATCGGGGTGGATCACCTATCAGGCGGGCCCGACAACCACGACGCGCTCGAGGCACGCGACGGCCGCGTGCCAGTTGGCGCTCCGCACCACCCGTCGGGGACTTCGTGGTGAAGCAGGCATCCTCCACCCACTCGACATCGAAGGGTACACCGGACTCATTTCTATAGCGCTCACTCTCATCAAATTGAAGTCCAGGAGGGGCCGCACATGCAGGCACATGCCGGACAGTCGAATACACATGCCCGTGCAAATCCACAAAAGCCTCAACAGCACTGCCACATGCCGCACAATCCGATGCACAGTCGGATGCACAATCTGGCAAAACTCTGAAAACATAAAACGCACATGCGCGCAGATGCCGGTGGGACTTCTCCAGAATTAGGGTGTTCCACCAATCAACACGCTGGTGCGGCCATCCTACACCCTAATGACCGTTTTACTCGGGAGGTTTTGTTGTTGCTGTTGTTGTTGTTGTTGTTGTTGTTGTTGTTGTTTCCCCCCCCGTCCTACCCAGGGGGAGGAGGAGGAGGAGGAGGAGGAGGAGGAGGAGGAGGGGGAAGAGGAGGAGGAGGAGGAGGAGGAGGAAGAAGAAGGAGGAAGGAGGAGGACGAGGAGGAGGCGGAGGAAGGAGGAGGCGGAGGCGGGAGCCTGCTGGTTCGGACGGTGCGATCCCTGGGAGCCCTGGCCCTGGGGCCGCCAGCAGCAGCGTTTTCGTCGGTGAGTCTCGTGTCTTTTGTCGGAGGAAGAGGAGGAGGAGGGAGGAGGAGGAGGAGGAAGAAGGAGGAAGGAGGAGGACGAGGAGGCGGAGGAGGAGGAGGAGGAGGACAAGGAGGAGGAGGAGGGGGAGGGGGAGGAGGACGACGACGACGACGAGCAGGAGGAGGCGGAGAAGGGACGACGACGACGACGCCCAGGACTACGGAGACGGGGGGCCTTGCATCCTCTCTCCTCATCCGTTGCCCCAAGACCCAGGAGGGAAAAAGGGAGGAGAGGTGGGGGGACACGGGGGAAGCCCAGCATCCTTCCTCCTCCTCCCCTTCCGCCCCTCCCCCCCAGATTCAGGAGGGTACTAAAGTAGTAGCACTCTACTGCACCAGTCCTGTACTGACAGTAGCGCAACAGTACGTGATAGTAAGACTCTTGTATTGCAAATTGCAATGCTTTAGTACAGACTGTCGTATTCGAAGTAGTTCTGTGCTTTTGCAAAAATCATAGTGCTCTACTCATGCACCGTTCTAAGACTACCGTCGTAGTGTTGCATTAATGGTGTGGCAATGCTGTAGTAGTCCTGCAGTTGTAGTATAGTAGTAGTACTCAGGTGTTGCAATAAAGATCATACTCTATAGAATTTGCTTTAATAGTAGCACTGTAGTGTAGCAGGAGTAGAAATAACCCACTACTGTAGCACCCGAATGCAATAGAAGTAGCTTCGATCTCGAGTTCTGCAATGGTAGTGCTTTTAATGGTAGTGCTGTAGGAAGAGTGCTGTACTTTTGTGGAATACTGCTGTACTGTTGTAATAATGGCGCGGTAGAACCAGTGCTATAGTGCAGTATTTGTATGGGCAGTACTCTACTATTGCCTGCCGTGAAAGTGTTACAGCAGTGTAATAGGAATACTCCAATGCCGCAGTCTCGCTGCATTGTTGTAGTATCCATTTTTCACACTGTACTGTTATAGTGGTGATGCTGTAGCAGTCGTAGCACAGTGCTGTAACATTATCCCTGCAGTCGTGGTACTCTAGGAATGTACCAGTGGTACTATGATGCCGTGGTAAACCGCTAGTCGTATTCCATTCTAAAGTGGCAGCACTGTGTAGTCCTGTAGTTGCAGTGGTAATACTCAGGTCTTGCAGAAAATACCATATTCTCAAACTTGCTTCCGTAGTCGCACTGTAGTATTGTAGTAAACGTAATCCACGACTGTAATGCGCGAGTACAGTAGGATCCTCGAACTGTAGTGCTTTAGTGGTAGTGCCGTAGGAAGAGTGCTGTGCTAGTTTTCGGTTGCCGTAGTGGCGCTGTAAAAAACAATATTCTAGTCCAGTATGCCGATGGGTAGTATTCTGCCGTTGCCTTCAATTAGTGTACTACAGGACTGTAGTAAGAATACTCCAATGGCGTAGTATCGCAACACTGGTCGTACCTTAACACGGTAATGCATTCTAGAACTACCGCGTTAGTATAGAATTCATGGTGTGGCAGCGCTGTCGTAGTCCTGTAGATGTGATAGGTAGTAGTAGTAGTAGTAGTAGTAGCAGCAGCAGTAGTAGTAGTAGTAGTAGTAGAAGTAGTAGTAGTAGTAGTAGTAGTAGTAGTAGTAGTAATAGTAGTATTAGTAATACTAGTAGTAGTAGTAGTAGTAGTAGTAGTAGTAGTCGTAGTAGTCGTAGTAGTAGTAGTAGT